CCCCCCCCCCCGCATTAAAAATGTCGCAAAATGTTCGCCAGCCATTGGTCGAGGGGCTACAGTCCCTCCAGAGAATCTGAGCTCCAAGCCAGACAAACGAACAGAGACTTGTGACTTGGCGTTCAGTCAGCTCCGTTCAGTTGATGAAAAGATGAAAAGTGTCCCCAAAACACCCGGGGACACTGCTGGTTATACTGAAAGCCAAGTGGATGTGATGCGCTGTTACCACCTAGGGGGCACGCGGGTCGGGAGATGTGTGCTTGAAGCAAGTCAGGTAGCTATTCTGTAGCATATCACAGCAGTGTACCACCTCTGCCAAGTAGTCTACTGGTATAAATAGACCGAGGCGTTGCACACAGCGGAGCCTAGGGTGACAGTGCGGTAAATAGGCGTTTGAGTGCTGCTGTGTCCCCAAAGTGTCCCCATTTGGGCTTCCGGTACACCAGAAGGGTTAAGACGGTGCTGGGTGATCCGTGGTCTAGAGGTCTCAGGATAAACAGGACGCACACACAGCATTCAACCACGACCCAGACCCAGCACGACCGAGAGGCCTGCAAGTGCAAGCGCATAGATAGGTCTAGACTACACCGTCGGCGGATTGCTTCACACCGGTAAGCCTTCTCAAGCAGCAATACCGACAACAGTAGGTCGGAGAAACCACAATGATCAAATTACTGTAGACCGCGTAGTTTTCCCTGTTATTATCTCTCGTGTTCGCTGTACATACGGCGGGTCCGCTGTGGAGCATGTTGTTATTACTGTAAATCTAGGCTTCGTGCTAAAAGTGGGCTACACTGGTGGTTGGTGTGGTTTTACTTCTACCAGACGACAAAGAGTAGCCAATGGCAGCAAAATTCTTGCACATGTAGTTTTCATTAGACTAGTCTAGACGCCAATATGTTCGCAAACTTGTAGTGTACTGGCACATTGTACGTAGTAGAGCGAACGCGTGGCCCCTGCTATGGAATTATTGGCTCACGTCCTGTGTCGATTCTAGGCCACACTTGCCCATCACTTCTTCTCTAGATACTCCATATGGACCCTGCGAGATCACATCATACTACTGCTGTACTGTAGCCGATGTATGCAATTCGCTGACAGCCGAGCCGGGGATCAGTTGTGAATGGCCACGGCTTCTTACGACGGCAACAGTCGTTCAAGACAAACCATCCCGTTCTATGGAGGTTGGAGGTTGACAGCATGGGGTGAAGCAGGCTACAGATGCGGTATGCATACAAGTGGGCAATAAAACAGAAGTACTATTAGAGGACCGTTTCGGAAGTACATTATTAGGTAAGATAAATGACCAAGACAAAACAAGGGTCAGTTTTATTAAATATTGTTGTAGCCGGTTACGTTTTTTTCGGAGACAGCCCCACTTTGCACCCAGGGCTCAGACAAACCTCACCACCTTCATCTTATTTGAGGCGTGGGGTCCTCTTCAGTAGCAACAGCGTAGAGTCAACCACAAAAATATGGCATCGCAGGGTACAGACTCGTCCGATCCTCATGTCACCACCACTGGACAGCCAGACCTGCTCCTCCTCCGATGCGGGCGGTGAGGTCTAATGTGTAGGTATGTGGTGATCGCTGTGGAAGGAACCGAGGGGTGGGTGGGATGAGTCAAGGTTCACCAGTCTCAAAAAGGGAAACTTTCTCGCCAACAACTAGTTCAGGAGAACACCGAGACCATGAGCTGTAGGCCACTCGAACTGCTGGGAGGTGGCCCAAAAGTCGCCTTGTGTTACAGCCATCTCCTCTGCCAGCTGTTGCGGCTTGGAATGCTGCTCAACAAATCGGTGTGAGAGGTGATTGTTTTAGGTTGAAGTTGCTGTTGCGGCTGGCTGCTGCTGCTGCAGCTAGCTAGCTCCTGCTGAAGCGCCGCCTCTGTTTCGGTTGATTGAAACAGAACGCCACCTGACCGGCTGAGAGATTGCTTGCAAGAGGCCTTTACAAGAGGGTGCTTCTCTGCGGCAATAACACCCCCGCTAGATGTTCCTTGCACCTTGCTTGGATGATGGATGGCAGCAGCAGCAAACCAACCAAACCTATTCTCTTTCTTGGGGAGGAGAAGAGGTGTAGTCTAGGGAACGGCGCGAGCGAGTCTTTCGGCAAAATCAGCGGCGGCCCCTTGCCAAGTATATGAGCCTCTTTTCGGATATTCTTTACGCCATATTTGTCTGGGCAATGTTGTCTGGACCTTTCGTCTGACGAAAAGAAGAGATTTTTCCGAAACTCCCCACTACAGGAGTTTCTCGAGTGTTTTGGAGTGGCACCGCTGCGCGGGGCGTTGTCTATTCTTGTGGTATAGAAGTATGATAGACAAAGAAAATGAAAAAGGAAACAGGACCCTGGCGGTTAGAATATTGATTAAATCCCCCTTCCCCGTTACGCTTTCTTCGTTGCGCGTGGAACACCGCCAGTTCGATGGGAACTGCTTTTGATTTTCCCGAAGGAATGGGGGAGGTCAATCGGCGGAGAGGGCGGGGCCACAAAAAGGTGAGAGAGCCCCACTGGTCGGTTTTGGTTGTCCATACCCGACAAGGGCTACCACGTCTTTACCATTCATCCGGCTCTATCGCAGTCTAGAAGGAGAACAAGCCAAGAATTAATATATGCTGAAATGGACATCGACCCTAGTTCTCACTAGGCACCGATAGTGTGATCCGACTCATGTTGAGTCCATCCAAAACAACCGCCGACTATTAGTCGCACGTACTGGATACCTCCGACACGGTCTGTACACGTTTCGAGGGGTTCTCTGCTGAGGGGCTAAACGATCCGGATACAACTACATCATCTTTGAAAAACTGAAAACGGACGTGCTTAATGTTCTGTAGATGGAGGCTGAATCTGTTGACGGTCCCTGTTGTTAACGGTCCGGCAGACCGACTCCCAGAGATGCTGCAGCTGAGTCATCGCCGCCTGCAGCTGCAGCAGGAACATCAGCCACCGCATCACGGCGGTGAATATGTTCTACATCTCTTTCCTGAGCAGCGGCGGCCGCAGCAGCAATTGCAAACGCATGAAGGCGAAGACTCTCCGCCTCCGCCACCAGCAGTTCGCACCACAGTTCAACTTGTCGAACGACAGCGAATCGTCCCATCAGGCTGCGCGAAAAACGAATTTGAAGTGTGGTAGTATGGCGGGTAGGTGGGGGGTTGGCCACGTGAGACAAGGTGCAGGGCGGCGGTGTGTGTCAGAGCAATTATTGCTTGACGTACTCCACCATTCACTTCAAACATCTACACTTTGCACATTCTACCTGTATTCATGTCGTCTAGGTTTCTACAGTCGACGCAGGTACTGTAGCCCCCCCCAGTATGGCGGGCACTGACTGATCGCGTCGGCATATCCATAAGAATTCACAACAATATCAGCAACGACATCAATATGGCTTGATCGACCATGAGAATGCGTTGTGCCAACCCGTGCTACTATACTACTGTACCGCACATCAAAGGAGGAACCGCAGATCACTTTGCCACGGCCAATCGGAAACCTTGAACTCGCTCTCTCAGAGTCTACAGTGCCAGTGAGCTTCGTTGCAGAAAACTATCGAAGCCGAAGTCAAACTATTCGACAACGTACATACATGTAGGTCAGCTGACTGCAGTAGTCGAATATTGTTTTTATTTCAGGTTCAATATAACGTCAGTCGTGGGATTCGTGAGGGGTTTCCCATACTTTCTACAGTTTTCCCAAACGACCCATGTGTCACTCACGGGTCACCCATGGGTCACCCATGGGACTCCCATCGGTCGTACGGGAAAGCTGTAGAAAGTGCGGGAGACGCCAATCTCCCACACTACTGACCGTTTTGCAAAATGCCCCATGGGAGTTCAATGGATCACCTATGGGTCACCCATGGGTGCCCCATGGGACTCCCATGAGTCTTTTAGCAATACTGTCAGTAGTGAGGGAGATTGGTAGTATCCAGGGTCTACTTGCTTCTCCCTTCTTCCCCTCGCTCCTCGACAAGCTTTTGCTTAGACATGGGTTGTAGTGAAGGGGGGGGTCTTTCTGGCGAGCAGGGCTAGACTCACCCTCAAGGGATGACCGAAACCTTCTTGCTGCTGCGCATATCCGCCGCGAGGCATGCGCGTGGTGGTGT